TTACAAAAGTCAGTTTCACGCTAAATTTCCTGTTCTTTTGTGTCTGGTTACAATGAGACATGCTTGTAATGGTTAATTTCTTTTAAAGAAGAGCTGCCAATAATAATATAGCTTCTCTGTGTTCGAAATGAGAAGTACATGTACTCGTACTATCAAAATACTGACTCTAACAATGACCAAAAAAAAGTTTAAAAACCTTTCGGTTTTCTCTTACGAGAATCTTGGTCACATTATAACCATGACCCAGTTATAAAACAAAACAAGATACATTGGTGGTTTGGTTAGGCTTTTCACTGTGTCACTTAGAAGAGGAGAGTTTATTTTATCGAGTACCCCCATCAAAAGAGAATCTTTACCCCAACTTTCCTGCTAGGGCACTGCATAATTTTTCTTCTGGATTGACCATGACTGGTAAGATATAAACAGCCAGTCTCCTAAATAATCTTAACTGTCCCAACTCAGTCATGAAAAATAAATCAGTGAAACTGGATACTGGACTTCATTGTTAACTCGTACCAGTCGTACTATATTCCCAGCTTTAATATGTCAAGTTAAGTTTGAAATATGAATACGTTGGCATTTTCCATTGAAGTGAGCTTCAAAAAAAAGTCGACAGGTTGAGATCGAGGGGCATAAACGTGAACGTAATGAAATCAAGTGAAAATGCAATTAAATCATGTTTAGTAAACAAAACCACACAACCAGGGTACGCAGTTTACTCACCTTTTGCAACATCTTGTTTGAGTACCGCGCGGCTAGATCTAGGTCTCTTGCCTGTTGCCTGGTGAGAAAAGACAAGACAAACATTATTTCTTATTATGCACTTTATTGGAAGCGTGACATATACAGCAAAGATTGTTTTTCCGTAAATGAACATAGCTACCTGTCATTTTATTTTACTTAAGATGAAAAAGAACAGGGGAGGGGAACAAGTGATGGGAACATGAGTGAGGGAAGGAAGGAAGGAAGGAAGGAAGGAAGGAAGGAAGGAAGGAAGGAAGGAAGGAAGGAAGGAAGGAAGGAAGGAAGGAAGGAAGGAAGGAAGGAAGGAAGGAAGGAAGGAAGGAAGGAAGGAAAAAAGGAAGGAAGGAAGGAAGGAAGGAAGGAAGGAAGGAAGGAAGGAAGGAAGGAAGGAAGGAAGGAAGGAAGGAAGGAAGGAAGGAAGGAAGGAAGGAAGGAAGGAAGGAGCATGTCTTTGTGGTACATAATATCTCATTGATGAGAGAGGAGGACCGGGGGGGGGGGGGGGGGGGAGGGAAAAAAAATGGACAAGTGCTTTTAATCTGGGGGGGGGGAGGTAGAAGGATGGGACAGCTGCATTAGTCAGGCGAGGAGCAGAGGAGAATAAATGCTTTTGGGGCACAACAGAAAGAGAGAGAGAGAGAGAGAGAGAGAGAGAGAGAGAGAGAGAGAGAGAGAGAGAGAGAGAGAGAGAGAAAGATAGAGAGAGAGAAAGAGAGAGATAGATAAATAGATAGAGAGAGAGAGAAAGCGAGTGTGTGAGAGAGAGAGAGACAGAGAGAGAGGGAGAGAGGCAGAGAGAGAGCGAGCGTGCGAATGAGAGAAAGAAGTGTGTGTATGTGTGTGTGTGTGTGTGTGTGTGTGTGTGTGTGTGTGTGTGTGTGTGTGTGTGTGTGTAGAGAGAGAGAGAGAGAGAGAGACAGAGAGAGAGAGAGAGAGAGAGAGAGAGAGAGAGAGAGAGAGCAAGGGTTCAAACGAGAGAGAGAGAGAGAAATGTGTGTTTGAGTATGTGTATGTGTGTGTGCGAGAGATTGAGAGAGACAGGGTGAGAGACAGAGAGTGAGAGAAAAAAAGAGAGAGAGAGAAAGCGATAGAGCAAATGAGAGAGAGAGAGAGAGAGAGAGAGAGAAAAAAAGAGAGAGAGAGAGAGAGAGAGAGAGAGAGAGAGAGAGAGAGAGAGAGAGAGAGAGAGAGAGAGAGATATCAGACAAACACACATTAAAACATTTCTGGTTCAGATTTCTAAAACAGAATCTGACACAACTCACCTTCCTACCAGCCATGGTCGTCCCCGCGCCACCAGCCAACGAACTTCCTGACCCCACTCCATCTTTCAGGTCATGACCCCCAACAAACGTACTCCTCTCAGAGTCGTCCGTCGTCTGGACGTTGACCAGTTTCTGGACATGAGTCGTGGACTCCTCACACAAGTCTTGATTCATGATGACTTCTCAACAGTGATGTCTGGAGAAAGAATCCCAAACAGGACGGTGTCGTTATAAGAAAGTTTGACGGCATATTTACAACACAATAAGCTCCTAGAAGTGCCGAAGATGAAAGGTTTTACAAGAGAATAACAAACACAAAAAGGAGAGATAAGAACGATTGATGTTTGAGAGGAAAGAAGGAGCAAACAGCACCTGAGCACCCGCCATTATTAGAAACAAAAGTAACTATTTCAGTCTGGTGCGTTAGAGGTCAGTGTTTGGAGGAGACAGGATGGGAGAGAGACACACAGAGAGAGAGACAGAGAGAGACAGAAAGACAGACAGACAGACGACAGACAGACAGAGAAGAGAAGAGGGGGGGGGGACTTAAACATTATGTGTATAGAGACTGATCCCAGACTTTAGACTGCCCTTCAAAACGGTTTTTGTTTTCTTTTTAATAAGGGGTGGGTGGTATAAGAAGTGTTTTGATGGGCTTTTGTTTGTTTTTGGGTGCGATTTTTGTAAATTTTATTTATTTATTTATTTATTTATTTAATTATTTTTTTTTATATTTTTTTTGGGGGGGGGGTGGTTGGTTAGCTTTCTTTTTGTTGCTGATTTTGTACAACGGTAAAAGAAACAAAATATTATGTAAGTAAGACGATGAAAACCGAGTGCCATGATAAAATAAACACACGAGTCGCCACCACTCCGAACGTCAACGTCCATTGTTACTTTGTTACAGAGTTGGTAAATAAAACAGTGACCAGTCACCTCACACACATTTTGTGCATGAGTTGTGGGCGGGGCTTATAGATCATGACGGATCACGCTTCCCTCACCAGCAGTTGAACATTTATTGTTAGTCGGCCTACCCATTGGTCAACTTGGGTAAACATTCATTGGAAGGAGTGACAATAACGAAAGGTGAAGGAATATGACAGCCCAACCACAGCATGGGGGGTCAATTCCAAATTTTTGACAATGCACCGGGCAATGAGTGACCAGGCCTGGCTACCTGAGGCAGGTATTAATTTGATCATCGGTTGATGAAATAAGGTGGGCGCAGCCGTGTTGGACAAGTGACCGTTTTACACAATTAAATTGTATAACCTCAGGCCAAGGTGCCCTATATCCCACAGTATTAAATCCAACCCTCCTCTCGCTCCAATCACAAAAGATGGTAAATTGTGAGCCTAAGACAAACAAAGACCATTTCAAAAAGAGTAATAAAATCAGAATTTAAAAAAGATACAGCCACTGGACAGGTGCGTTTTTAAAAAAAGATTTTTGTCCTTAATAATGAATAGAATATTATATTTTATGCTATAGTTTCTGGAAACTTTCAACACTGTGAAGGTATGTGTAAATTAAGAGGCGGGAACTCTGATCTTCATAAGAATGAAGTGTTTCAGATAGGAAACAGCGACGAACGCACCAGAACCTATAGATAACAAAAAACACGACATTCCAAATTAAAATGATGTACGAGAAAACTAATATGGAAATCAGTAGATCGAAGCAGCATTTCGCTAAGCTACCACACGAATCACGCCAAGGGGCCGACATAGTGCCCTTGCAAAAGACACTTTACACGAATTTTCTTCTCTTCACCCACGTGGGCATGGGTGCCCAGCTATAGGCAGCTTAAGATATGTTGTTAGATTGTGTTTTAGGGCTTGAAATCCGCTGCTTGTACTGTATACTTTAAGAGGAGCCGAGAATATTTTTGAGTGTTCAAGGGTCTGCTGGGGTAATGATAGTTATAAAGTGCATAGAGCGTGATGTGGAGTGTGGACGTGCCCTAGACGATGATGATGATGATGATGATGATGATGATGATGATGATGGTATTTATCACGTGTGTCCCAGAAAGGATATCCTTTTATTATCAAAATGACCTGCTGCAAATTGATGAAATGTAAATGTTTTGGCTTTAAAAAGAATCAATTCAATGTGTGGTTTCATGATGTTTTCAAAACGTGTATGGTATCTAATTTTTAAAATCTAGAGGCAGAAACTCCAACTGTCGTCCTTCCCCAGTATGACCTAGCAAATTTAATAAAGTAGTAGATCTAGTAGAAATTCCTTCCCCAATTTCAAAATGAACAGTTTCAGATTCGAATCATGGTCTTCCATATTCAAAAATATAACATCTAACCGGATGATGCACTCAATAAATAGGTAGAAGAATAAACAGATAATAAAAATTGGAAACAAATAAAATAACAACTATAATATAATAAGAGACCACCCACTGTCTCAAGATCACAATCGAAGAAATCGCCTGAAAACTCAGAAATGAACGCAAGTGTCTATGATGAATAAAACACAGAATAGCAAGACGTCTACACACGCTGATAATCAAATCGAGAATGACAAAGAAAATCCAAAAACTACTTGCTCGAGCCTCTCTTTGAAGGTACGCTACTTTACTGCACGTTCCAAAACACAAAGAAAACTGAAATTTTACTTCCTATCGTCAGCTGATTACACGCCAATAAATGGTCACGGACATTGCCACGCCCCCGAGGTGCACCTCTCGCTCGCCTCTCACCCACTGACCAAGAGGCCGAGGCTGACATGTTTTTTTTACCAAAATACCTGTTCTCATAATGTTGTCAACAGACTATGCCTAAAACTGCTGACAACTGGAAGGGAATTTTTGCGAGAAACGAAGAAGGACCACTGGCAACAAAAATAGTTAGCCCATTAAGCTGATCGATAGCTGGTGGCTATTTGTCCCTTTAATAGGAAGAATGCGCTTTTTGACCACGTGGTACATTCGTTAGAATTGGGAGTTTAAAATATATTTAAAAGGCCCCTCGTTTCCCTTTCCATGCAAAAAAAACAAAAAACAAGCAAAACCAAAATCTGGCTGTCCCCGGCTGCGTCTAAATTAAATGAATATACAATGTAATTGAGACTGTGCACTGAAACGTTAGCTTTGGTCAAGATGCACTCTGATCCCCATTGTTGAGGAAACCACTGCCCTCTTCCCCATTGGTGTTTGAATTGCAATCACAAAGGAGGCTCTCAGCTGACAGAAACTGCCGGGAATTGACAAAACGTGGGCGGGATTAATAAAACCTGGACCTCCATTGATGCTGAAACATGTGCGATGGGTCGTGACAGGTGTGTTCACAAAAGACCCCAGCCAGTCCGGCTGATTGTTACGCCAGGTAGCCATTACACAACCGGGCGGCGTTTTGCTCCTTGTGTTGTACAATTTTTAGCTGACTAGCAGATTTTGGTTAAGGCTATAGTGGTGTGGTTATTGTACAATATGAAAGTCTTTCTTTAAAAAAAAAACAAAAACAAAAAAACCATGTATATTAATTTACACATTGTAATCTAACTACAAGCATCCTCCAATCCAGCCCTTCCTAAAGTATGACAAATCTTGTCTGCTGTTGGCATACACAAGATCAACATTGCGTCTACCGGAGCACGTGGGTAGAGTTTGTTCAATTGAAGTTCAAGACGTCACATAGAATAGCATTTGCAGTTTTCAGAATATTAAAGTTAATAAGAGCAGCACTTTGCTAATTTGATAAAATAGTGGGGGAAATTTTTCGATAATTTCAGAATGAAGCGTTTCAGATTTGAATCATGGTCATCCTCAGCATAATTCGGAAAAGTGACACCTAACACGACAATGCAGCCGATAAATAGGTAAAATAATAAACAAAATAAAAACTGGAAACATAATATAACAATGAAATAACAAGTGACCACCTACTGTCTCAAGATCACAATCGTAGAAATCGCTTGAAAACTCAGAATAGAACGCAAATCTCTATAATGAATGAAACACAGAATAGCAAAACGTCTACACTCGCTGATAGTCAAATCGAGAATGACAAAGAAAATCTGGAAACTACTGGCTCGAGCCTCTCTTTGAAGGTACGCCACTTCACTGCATGTGTCAAAACACAAAGAAAACTAAAATTTTACTTCCTGTCGTCAGCTGATTATGCGCCAATAGTTGGTCACGGACATCGCAACGCCCCCGAGGCGTACGTCTCGCTCGCCTCTCACCCACTGACCGGGAGGCCGAGGCAGACATGTGGGTTGTTTTTTTGTTTTTTTTTTAGGGGGGGGGGGGGGGGGTTCTTTTTTGACAAAGGGCGACAAGTGTTGTTATGCAATTAAAAGTTGGGACCACACCAGACCAAAACTCTGCAGGGTTTTTTTTCTGAGTTATCGTTGGCAGTGACAGGATTAATAAAACATAGACCTTCACAAATGCTGAAACATGTGCAACGGGACGTGACAGGTGTGTTCACAAAAGGCCACAGCCGGTCCGGCTGATTGTTACGCCAGTTAGCCATTACACAACCGGGTCGCGTTTTGCTCCTTAAGTTGTACAATTTTTAGCTGACTAGCAGGTTTTGGTTAAGGCTATAGTGGTGTGGTTATTGTACAATATGAAAGTCTTTCTTTAAAAGGAAAACCCCAGGTATATTAATTTACACATTGTAATCGAACTACAAGAACCTTCCACTATAGCCCTTCCTAAAATATGACAAATCTTGTGCGCTGTTGGAATACACAAAATCAACATTGCGTCTATCAGAGCACGTGTGTAGAGTGTCATCAATTTAATTTCATGACGTCACCAAGCAAAGCACTGGCAGCTTTCAGAATGTTAAAGTTGATAAGAGCAGCATTTCGTTAATTTTATAAAGTAGTGGAGGAAATTTATCACCAATTTTAGAATGAAGCGTTTCATGTTTGAATCATGTTCATCCACAGCATAATTCAGAAAAATGATATCTACCACGACGATGGAGACGATAAATAAGTAAAGGAATAAACAAAATAAAAACTGGAAACATAATATAACAATGAAATAACAAGTGAACACCTACTGTCTCAAGATCACAATCGTAGAAATCGCTTGAAAACTCAGAATAGAACGCAAATCTCTATAATGAATGAAACACAGAATAGCAAGACGTCTACACTCGCTGATAGTCAAATCGAGAATGACAAAGAAAATCCGGAAACTACTGGCTTGAGCCTCTCTTTGAAGGTACGCCACTTCACTGCATGTGTCAAAACACAAAGAAAACGAAAAACTTACTTCCTGTCGTCAGCTGACTTTGGCGGCCATTTTATCGCTAATTTTACTTCTGAAACCAGGCAACCCCAATTCTTTCAACCGCAAATATCTCGACTTCTATTCAAGATAAATGCACCTAAAGGAAACAAATAACAGGCTTTAAGAAGATACTACAATCTCCATACAGACGAGCGCCTGATTCCACCATGTCGTGACACATTTGTCAGTTTTCAGAATAAGTTGATAAGAGCAGCATTTCACTAAGTTTCCACACGATATTTATATCGATTACATTTACATTCATGTTGATAACCCAAATTTTAAAATAATAAACCACTGCTTAATAATTTATATATTTTTTTTTTTTTAATTAAATAATGAAGTTAAGTTGAGATTAAGAAGGTAATAAATCAATCATAATATGCTCGGAAAGAATAAGAATTCAAAATAGAAATAATCTGCTGCAGATTCATGTGATTTCAAATGGTCAGATGCTGGTGGGTGGGGGAGACACTCTCATCGGGGGAGTGTGAATGTCCATGACCAACTATCGACACGTAATCAGTTGACAACAGGTAGGAAAATTTTAGTTTCCTGTCTGCACCAAACTGTGCAGCGAAGTAGCGTACTTTCAAAGAGAGGCTCGAAC